TTTTTTTTTTTTTTTGTTTTTTGTTTCTTATCTACCATACATAAACTTAATTTTATAGCCTTAGTCTTATAGCCTGATTTAGTGGGGGTTGACTTCATATGGAGATTTCGATTTCTCCCTGTCAACGCCCGTTTCTTTGTCATCTTTTGCAAATAAAGTTGTTATAAATACGTATATACTGCTTGCCTATAGTAATGACCCAACCATTTAAAATCGTATAACTTTTTTTATTTTTGGTGAGAATTTTCGCGCAAATACGCGTATCGGCTCGTCTCCGCTCCAACTCTGGCATTTCTCCACTACACTACTCACTGCTCACTGTGTGTCATTACTGAAAGATAAAGAACTCTAAACTATTGTCACGGTAACTTTGAAATGTTGGTATGATGAAACAGTTAATCGAGGGGACTATTAACTATGTTTGAAAGTTATAAATGTATTTCTGATCGAATGCTCTCGACGTTTTTGAAAGATGTTATCTTTTTTGCTTGGCTTCTCATCAACGTTATATATTACCACTTTTCAGCAAACGAATGACTGCTCGTTTAGTGGGACCCATTTGTCGATCCGCGAGAATGCGCAGTAATATATTGTCAGGGCTTTGGTGTTGTGCACATTTTTGAGGAGAAGGGCGATCGATATAACGGGAAACTACAAGTCGATCGTAAAACCTGATGCTGATACTGATTTTCTTCAAGTTGCTTTGTTTTAATATCAGCGAATCGATCTCTGGTTGGCATAGTAATGATAATAGCATACGTCACATCTATTCGCCCCAGGGAATGTATATAGAATTGCTGGTTTTCAATCATTCCCAAGAGAATAAAATGACAGAAGATACGGTGGCCCCTCTTAAAGTCATGCAAAAAAATACGATCCCCCCTAAGCAAGGCTTGTAGCTTCTTCCAAAAATTGTGCATCCCCTCGCATTTTTCTGATAAAAATTTTCCCATCCCCCCTCAATTTCACCTGCCCCCTCTGGCATAAGGGTTTACGAGTAACTGATTGAAATTGCCCTAT